TGTGTCCAGGTGTGTGGAGGTGTGTGTAGCATACTGATATACACCTGAACATCAGCAGGAGAGGACTCTTTAAAGTAGAGACACTACATACTGATATACACCTGAACATCAGCAGGAGAGACAGAGACACTACATACTGATATACACCTGAACATCAGCAGGAGAGGACTCTTTAAAGTAGAGACACTACATACTGATATACACCTGAACATCAGCAGGAGAGGACTCTTTAAATAAAAACTGTTTTATATGATAATATTCAAATAAATAAAGCTTTTATTGAACCTGAGAAACCCTTTCTACGCGCTGTCATTCACATTTTCAGGTTTTATTTTTCGAATGAAAGCTGTTGTTGTCAGTCTCAGAGGTGTGTGTGTGTATCTTACTCTTCAGGTGTGTGTGTGTGTGTGTGTGTGATGAATATCAGCTCTTTCATTTCCTGTCAGGCAGGAAATGAAAGAGCTCAGAGGCGACACGCTTTATCTTCTTCTGCTGGAGAATTACAGGCGGATACAGGTGATACCTGAGGGGGGGGTGAACAGGAAGAGGAGGATGAAGAGGAGGAAGAGGAGGATGAAGAGGAGACGAGGAGGAGGAAGAAGCAGCTGCAGTGACATTTAGAGACGCTCAGTTTGACATTTCTGCTGAAGAAGAATTTAAATGACTTCCTGTCTCTGATGGGAAACTCTTTTATCTTCAGATTACTGTCAGAAACAAACAGCACATCGTGAGTGTTTATTTAAATGTATAAATAAACAAATATACTGCTTATATATATATTTATATATATAAACATATCCTATCCGTCTTCTCCTGGTGATTCCTCTGACGTATTTAAACCTGTCTTTCTCTCCCTTGGTGCTCCTCAGCAGCGGTGTGTTTAACAGCCTCTGAAATGTCCAAATGGACCAATCAGAATCGAGTATTCAAACAAGCCGTGTAATACATATACATGTATTTAAATTCTACGCGGAGACGACTGCAATCTGCTGCTCGGATCATATTAGGAGATGTCTGCAATAACCATAATGTTCCTAAAGCTCACTGTAGCCGCAATGATCTAAATATACTTCTATATAAGTTCAACATGTCGCATCAGTTCATTACACACACCTATAAACACTGCTATTATAAACACTTCATATATATATGATGAGAAATATAGACTGGATACTCTTATTATAACTATACACACTTAGATATTAATATAAATACAGAGCTGTTTATAATTAAATCCTTTTATTGCAGAACATAAAAGCTGAGATCACAAACCCGGGAGAACTCAATTAATAATAATGAATCATTAATAATAAGCAGAATCATGTCCTCTATTCAAAGGAACACTTTAATAATGAAATATATAATAACACACGTGTGGCAGGAGGAGCAGTGATCTCTCCATGGATCCATACAAACAGATGACGTGGAGTTTCTCCTCCGGCCATACGTACATTATTATTCTCCTGACTTTATGTATGATTACAGAAGAGGATTAGGGACACCATCTTGAGTTCTGATTTCAGTGTTTTAACTTGTGGACACATCCCAACATTACAAAAAAAAATTCTCCAAATTACTTTAATCTGAGAAGAAAACTAAAAATAACTTTCAAAAGAAAAACTTTTTTTTTTCTTTCTCAGAATTACGATTTTTTTCCTCACAATTCTGACTTTGATCCCAGAAAAAAATGTTTTCACTTTTGTGATCAGATCTCAATTGGTTTCCACACGTCGCCCTCCTCCTCTTCCATAGAGACTAAAGTTGAATTTAGATTTTATTCGATGTAAAATAAAACCCCAGATATTTCGGACTTTTCTCAAAACCAAATAACCCATCCTGTGGCGCTCTTCCTCTTCCGTATATAATAATATTAAAAAAGTGAATTACATTTGAATCATACATGTCATTCTTGTCATATAGAATATAAAAATCCCTAAATGTAAATCTGCCTCCACCAACAGACCAAGACGTAAGCCTCGTGGGGGTGATTTGATCAGAGGGATCCTGGAGCTTTGAGAGGACTGATTGTTTCTGAGGGTTATTAAAGCTCTCAATACAAGGCGCGTTCGGGATATCAGTACAAAATAATACAAATAATAATAATAATAAAAATAATAATAATGCGGATGCAGCCACGGGGTAATAATCAGAGCGGTTATTTAAATATCTTCTGAGATTATGAAGCGACGGAGGGTCTATGGCAGGACGTCCCTCCGGTCTCTCCACTCTGACCCGTGGGGATGTCTGAGAGCTTTTCTGTAAACACTTTATAATCTCAGATAGTATTTATGTTGTTCTCGTGGTGATATCGCCGGCTTTAACCTCAGGTCTGCCAGAGGTTCCCTGGGTTTATCCCCGGAGATGTGAACACTGAAGCAGACCATAATCACGCGTCAGTTATTAAAGCTGAATAATGTCTGAGCGGAGCTTCAGAGACTCGCTCTGCTCGAGGAATGAGACACGCTATGGTACAAGAAATTACAAAAATAAGATTCTGAATAATTTGACATCCTTTTTACATCCTGCTCTTCTTCTTCTGTGGTGGTATAGACAGTCCTGCTCTTCTTCTTCTGTGGTGGTATAGACAGTCCTGCTCTTCTTCTTCTGTGGTGGTATAGACAGTCCTGCTCTTCTTCTTCTGTGGTGGTATATAGACAGTCCTGCTCTTCTTCTTCTGTGGTGGTATATAGACAGTCCTGCTCTTCTTCTTCTCTGTGGTGGTATAGACAGTCCTGCTCTTCTTCTTCTGTGGTGGTATAGACAGTCCTGCTCTTCTTCTTCTGTGGTGGAATAGACAGTCCTGTTCTTCTGGAGGCAGTGCTTATGATATGAAGGCTGGTGAGCAGCCGTTCTGAGCGCTGCTGTCTCTGGAGAGTGGGCTGGAGGGATGGAGCTGATGGAGGCGGGGAGGTCCTGAGGGAATATACACTTTAAACACGTCTTCTTTCACACAATTTTGTTTGACTTATTCCTCCAAATCTCAACATTCTGACTTATTTTTCAAAATTAAAAATTTATTTTCAAAATCTCAAAATTCGAACTTTATTTTCAACTTATCAAAATTCTGCACACAGAGGAAACCCAGAATGTGAAATATCAGTGGAGTTGAACGCACCTTGCAGCTCTTGATCTGCAGACCGATGCCTTCGGCTTTCTGAAGGATCTCTTCTATGTCCAGCTTCATGGAGAGCTCGTTAATGTGCTGCCGAAGAGTCATGAGAACAACCTTCAATAACTCGCTATTTATTACAGAGATAGATATTACGATTTCTACATATTTAAAGATATTAAGATATTTTTAAGATATGTTTCTTGTATATTTTGAATAATGTTTTGCTCACCTTGAGGATCTCGTTGAAGCCGTAGTTCTCCTCCATGATCTTCTGCTTCTCTGAGTCCAGGATGGCACAGCACAGCAGCAGGTGGAAGTTCTGACAGGGGAGCCCGGTCCACATCACCTGAGGAGACATACCACAGGTACAGGTACAGGTGAGCACTCAGGAGGACACACCACAGGTACAGGTACAGGTGAGCACTCAGGAGGACACACCACAGGTACAGGTACAGGTGAGCACTCAGGAGGACACACCACAGGTACAGGTGTGTAAGTGTCCAGGTGTGTGGAGGAGTGTCCAGGTGTGTGGAGGTGTGTCCAGGTGTGTGGAGGAGTGTCCAGGTGTGTGGAGGTGTGTGTAGGTGTGTGTAGGTGTGTGCAGGTGTGTCCAGGTGTGTGGAGGTGTGTGGAGGTGTGTGGAGGTGTGTGCAGGTGTGTCCAGGTGTGTGTAGGTGTGTCCAGGTGTGTGCAGGCGTGTGTAGGTTGTGTGCAGGTGTGTGTAGGTGTGTGTAGGTGTGTGCAGGTGTGTGTAGGTTGTGTGTAGGTGTGTGCAGGTGTATGCAGGTGTGTGCAGGTTTGTGCAGGTGTGTGCAGGTGTGTGTAGGTGTGTGTAGGTGTGTCCAGGTGTGTGCAGGTGTGTCCAGGTGTGTGCAGGTGTGTGTAGGTTGTGTGCAGGTGTGTGTAGGTTGTGTGTAGGTGTGTGTAGGTTGTGTGTAGGTGTGTGTAGGTGTGTCCAGGTGTGTGCAGGTGTGTGCAGGTGTGTCCAGGTGTGTGCAGGTGTGTGCAGGTGTGTCCAGGTGTGTGTAG